ACAAGCGCATCCAAATTTTAACCACATTGCTTAACTGCCTCTGAGGCTCTGACCGAGCTGTGAGGCACTTCCTAAAATAAAAACACATGGGAAGAGCTGACAGCCCATTTGTTCGGCCGCGTCCGCTCGGCAACGGCAAGCAATCCCGGGCGTGCTTTGCTTCCTCAACAAACAGGGCGCACCCGCCGCAGCAACGATCATGGTCAGAACCAGTGTGTCGCGTCGCGCCGTCTCGCTGAAACATAAAACTACTCGTACTAGATAACGCTGAATCCATACTCGGCGTCAGGATCTATGGCTCCGAGCTCGGAGCCGAGGTCCACGGCTCTGAGATCGGAGCCATAGATCCTGACGCCGAGTATGGATTCAGCGTTATCTAGTACGAGTAGTTTTATGTTTCAGCGAGACGACGCGACGTGACACAGAGATCCACGGCTCTGAGATCAGAGCCATAGATCTTGGCGTCGAGCTCGGAGCCAAGATCTATGGCATCGAGCTCGGAGTCAAGATCTGTGGCTCCGAGGTACCGGCCACGTCAACGCCACTTAGAATACCCTGTTGTGCACGGCCAGGCACCTCGGAGCCAAGATCCGTAGCGCCGAAACGTGTTACCTCGGAACCATGAGTCCTGACGCCGACCTTGGAACCATGAGTCATGGCGCCGACCCCCAGAGTTCAAAGATGAATTTATGTCTTACAGGAAGTCAAACATAAATTTTCTTCAAACAATGACCAAATTGTAAAAAATTGGACGCCTACGCACACGGCACATCCCAAACTATGAAAGTTTGGGAAAACTGCCATAGTGTAAAGATCGTTTTGCCCATGCATATGCAAGAATATTCGTAAAACCTAAGTCGAAAAGGAGGGCAAAGTGGTCAATGAGAAGTGCGTTTGCTCTACTACTGCCTTTTAGACAGCCGCAGCGGCATGATGTACTGTTGATATCTTGATTAATACCACTACCAGGTATATAGTACCAGGAGCATTCATCAATTTCACCTTTGCATCTCTGTCAAGTTCACCAACCCCAACAATGACATCTTAAAACAGCCTAGTAGAAAATTTTAAACGCGATGTATTTTATTTATTTTTATTTTTCAACTAATCGTGCTCCAAAAACAAGTTCTGGGTTGAGCACGGTCCAAAACTGCAAGGATGTGTGCATATAAAAAACAGTAATGCTCAGGGCGGGCGTCCGTCTGATCGGACGCCGCCTTCTTGGGCCTATGCGGCCCACCAAGCCTGCCTCCTTCTCTTTACGTTTTCTACATCTCTCTCAAAAATATTTACCCACTTCCTCGCACATCGCACGCTACACGGCGCCATGCGTTTGTCCGCTCCACTCCGTATTTGCCGTCACAGCCACCTCCTCGCACGCGCCCCACCCTGTATTGTTCGCTTCTCGCTCTTGCCTGTAGCACATGCCCACCCGCGCGCTCTCGCTCCTTGCACACGCAATCCCACCTGCCGCGTGCCCACCCGCGCCGCTCGCTCCCACACCGTCAGGCATGCCGCCGGCCTCTGTTGGTACTCGTGGTGCCATGGCGCGCCTCAGTCGGGTCCCGACCGAGCCAAGGGCACCCATGAGTGCGGCTTCGTCTGGTGGTGCTCGTGTCCCGAGGTCGGAATCAACCGGCTCCGACCTCCCCACCCATATGTTGCAAATATATGTTTCAAGTGTTTTAGATATTTCAGAGGTATGTTGCAGGTGTTTCGTATTACAAAAGTTGATCGGGATGTTGCATATGTTGCAAGCGTTTATTCAAAATATTTCATCTATTTCGGACTTATGTTGCAAGCATTTTTTTATCTGAATGTTGCACATGTTTCACATCTATGTTGCAGGAGTATGTTCGAAATGTTGTAGCAATTTCAGTCTTATGTTCGAATAAGTGTTTTCATGTTGCAATTTGTAAGTGTTTTATTTGGACGTTGCATGTTGCAATTGTACGTTTCAAATGTTTCATCTACTTCAGTCGTATGTCGCATCAAGTGTTTCATGTTTCAGAGATAGAGAGTCTTGGGGGGCATGGCCTGGGCGCCGGGAGATAGGGAATCGCGAGCCGTGGACCGGCGGTGGAGGCGCATAGTGCACCTAGGATCTTGCGCACTGGGCGTGCTCGTCCTCATGCCGGCTCTCGGGTCCCACCCGCCCAGAGATGAGGAGGGGGTCAGGGGGAAGGAGCGGCGCGTCGTTTCCTACAGGCGCGCGGATGTCTGGACTTGCGGTCGCGGAGAGAGAAGAGGGGGCCAGGGGAAGGAGTGGCAGGCGCTGCCTTTTCGCAGGCGCGCGTGACGAAGGTGATGCGGGCGTTTGGACACACGCTTTTGTTTGGACGTCCGGACGCTAGTATCTCCTTATAAAAAACGGTTTTGTAAAAAAAGTTTGAGCTCCATCATAAAAAAAAATGATTGATGTCTTCTAAGGGGCTGATAGACTTCGTGGTCATTTAGTGGGCTGAGCGCGTTGTTTATAATGGGCCGCATAAGAAAAATGGCCCGTTCGTCTCACGCAGGAGCGCACGACCGATTTTCTTCTGTTGTTTAAATTCTGCTTTTGCTTTATTTTTGTTTCTCTATATATTCCTATGCTTCTTCCTTTTCTTCCTGATCTCCTTTCACTTCTTTGGTTTATAATTCTAGTTTTCTTCATAATCTGTACCCTCTATTTGTATTCCTATTTTTGTTCATTTTCAACAATTTCTATTTTTGCTCAGTCCATCTCTATCTGATGCTGAAAACACCCATTTTCTTTGTTTTCAACAATTTATCCTGAAGGAAAAATATTTTAAAATACATGTTTAAAACAAATCATGTTTAATTCTAGAACATCTTTTTATTTAAGTTGAGACATTTTCTACTGAGTTGGTAATTTCTAAACGGAAATTTATGGAACAAATCACATATATTTCGTCCAGAATATCTTTTGTTTAAGTAAGAAACATTTTTTTCTTGTCAAGCTACATATAGTTCTAGGACATTTTTACTCGCAGCATTTTCTTTGTTTTTTAAAACACCAGGATACCTTGTAGCATTTGTGGACTGTAGCATTTGTGGACTAATGAGCAGGAGTAGTACTTCTCTCTTTCTCCTATGAGAAGAACCCAACTCAGTTACCAACTTACCGTGAAGATATTGCCAAGAATTATCACGATTATCTAAAACAAACCGTGGTAAAAATTCTCAGTTGAACTTCGTCAACATGATTAAAACACGAGTGGCAACAAGCATCAGGAGTGCAGAGCAGCAGCACTTCCTGCTGGAATGGAAACAACACGCAGTCACGCACGCCGTCACGAAGAGAAAGCACACATCTCAGCCATTCCGAACTCCCAGCCCCGAGCTCAGTTACCTCGGGTGATTATTCGTCGAAGTGGGATCACCACACCCACACGCTCGCGGCGCGCCGGCCTTTGCTCGCTCGCACCTTGCAGTCGCAGCGACGACGGCGCTCTACGCTTCCTCTGGTTTGCCGTCCAGCGCGGGCCGCCAGCCGCCGCCGCGCCGCGCAACGCCCGCCGCCCTTCCAGGGACACGGCCGTGACTACTATATGCCGGCGGCTCGGCGCTACTCCGGCTCGGCTGCACTTCCTCCGCGTGACGCCCGCGGCGATGCGCTCCAGCTCGCCCCTGCTCACCACGATCTTGGCGCGGACGCCTTCGCCGCCTCGTGACACGACGGTGACGCCACCGCCGCTGTGAAGCGCTTGCCGACGCCGAGGGCTCCCGAAACGGAAGAAGCAGTTGTGCATGCTGGTGAATCGAATCGAACCTACTGGCCATGGCGCAGTTTGCTCGGGCCTATATATAGGGACGCGTGCTGTACGTACGTATCGGCCGTCTTGTTGATGATGGAGTTGGATTGTTCTTCTACGGCTGCGGCGCCTCATGATCACGAGGCATGATCCGGCCGGCGGCTTGATTCGTCAGTTGACTTTCGGGATTGAGAATGAAGCCGGTAAGGGTCAAATGAGGCGTTTTGGCTCCGGCCGCTACACATGACTGATGCATGGTTCAATGATTCCAGTGCCCATGCCTACTACGTGATGCCACGACAGGTTGGTTGGCGCCGTTCTCGCCCAATGATTTGCATGCGTCGCCGCGCCACGGGCTTACCTGACGATAGATCATGCTTGTGTATGTAAGGAGACAGTTTCATGATTGTACATGCATCCTAAAACTGCTAGTCCCCTGATAGCTTTGCATTATTGAACTCTGAAGTCTATCATGTATGTACTCCATAGTCTCGTCTATACTGTGAGCACGCCACCGGATGACCGGCACGCAGCTACTGTCGACGAACCGGCAACAGAAGAAGCAGGCGTCTCCAGTAGCCGGCCCAGGAAGCCAAGGCCCAGGCGGCCCAATCCGTGATACGCCGGGCAGGAATGGTCCAAGTAATGCGCTTGCACGCGCCAGCTGAGGCCGAGCCTCTGTACTCTTAAGGAGAAGGAGAGGAAGAGAGAGATCACCAAGTTGTAAATGAATTCTGTTATTCCTAAACTAAGCACTCATACTCCATATCCCTGTTCCTCTTCCTCCTCGCTGCCGTGCTTCCCAATCCTTATGCCTTCTCTCTCGATCCCCCTCTGCTATCTCTCATAAGTGGTATCGGAGCCACCAATCCTCGGCCGTTTCCGTCCGCGAAATCCACAACCCATCGATTGGATAATCCAACTGAGATGGTAGGTCTAACTCTTCTCGATCTTGTGAGCTGCAGATTTGAGTTGAGATTCCGTAATTCCCCTCTCTGGATAGTCCAATTTGTGGCAGATTTCCGTTCTGGATCCATCCGATTCGCCTTTTCCCCATACCCACTATACTCGCTTGCAAAGGCAGCGCGACGCCATGAACCCAGAGACAAAGATCCTGCTCGACGAGATCGACATGAGGTTCACCGCTCGCTTCGATGGTCTGGAGCGTAAGATCGATGCCAACGCGGAGTCCTCCTCCACTCGCCTCAAGGCGCTGGTGACCGCAGCCCAGGTGTTCGACGAATGGCGCCCGGGATCGAAGGTGTGGTCGACGATTTGAAGATCGAAGTCGGCAAGCTCACCACCCTGAAGATGGAGGTTGGGAAGATCTTCAAGTACTGGGAGCGTTCGATGGTGGACGCGCCGTCAGCGACCCTAGGCGTGTTCGCTCCCGCCCCTGTGTCCCCAGGCGATGTCATCCTCGACTCCAAGGCCGCCGTCATTCCCGACCTCAAGTCCAAGGCTGCCGTCGTTCCCGAACTCAAGTCGGCCATCGACGGCGACTTCCAGGCTGCCGGGCGTGCCTCTGCCGGAGCAGCAGCCGAACTGCTCAGGGGGCACCGCGTCAACCAAAGGACCCAGGCGGGTGAATTCGGAGTGGTGACCACTCTGATTCCACCCCCGACAAGGGTACGTTTCCTTGCCGACCCGCCTCCCCCCTTCCATTACAGTGTCCACCACAGTGTCCACCACCACCACCACCACCACTCACTAGTAGTCATTGGGAATCTGGACACCAAGGCGGCAGCGGGGGTGGCCATACCGGCAAACTCCCCAAGTTCGATTTTCCTCGATTCGATGGGGATCATCCTAAGATATGGATTAAACAGGCTGTGCATTATTTCGCCCTATACCGTGTTGAGTCGTCTGTCTGGGTCCAGGCAACCACAATGCATTTCCATAGCGCAGCCAAACGCCGGCTCTCATCCGTTGAGGACCAGCTCGAGTCCACCACTTGGCCTGACTTTTGTGCTCAGCTTCTCACTCGCTTTGCCCGGGATGAACATGAGCTGCTCATTCGTCGTTTGTTCCAAATCCGTCAGTCTGGTCCTGTCTCTGAGTATATAGATGACTTTGTTGCCTTGGTAGATCAGCTTAAGGCCTATGCTAAGCATCCTGACCCACTTTACTACACCCAACGCTTCGTAGATGGCTTGCGTGATGAAATTAAAGCTGTTATTCTTGTGCAACGCCCTACCACACTGGATACTGCTTGTGTGCTTGCTCAATTACAGGAGGAGGCGATGGGCTTAAGCAAGAGACCTTATCGGCGATATGACTCCAAGCCGGTGTGGACTGGGGCACTCCCACTGCCACCACCTCCACCCAAGCTTGCAGACGGTGAAGTCAAACGCCTGACGGATACTCCTCACTCCACTGTCGAAGAGAAGTTCCAGTCACTGCGTGCTTCCCGTCGTGCTCGAGGGCTGTGTATCCGTTGTGGAGCAAAATGGAGCCGTGACCATAAGTGTTCTGAGGTTGTTCAACTGCATCTTGTCCAAGAGCTATTGGATATGTTTCCTGATGATGAAGATGAAGCCGAGGCATCATCACCGGCCTCTCCTACCAAATCTCAGTTGATGCTCCACCTGTCTATGGCCGCTGTGGCCGGCGCGTCAGCACCCAAGACCCTCTGCCTTAAGGGTGTTATTCAAGATGTACCTCTGTCAATACTGGTGGATTCTGATAATTCTCATATGTTCCTCAGCACAGAGCTGGCCGGGTCATTACACGGAGTGCAGAAGCTGGTGCCCGCAGTGCAAGTACAGGTTGCCAATGGGGCTGTGTTGCAGTGCACCTCTCACATCTCTCGTGCTTCATGGTCTGTGCAGGGTTATTCCTTTACCACTGACCTCAAGCTGTTGCCACTAACTGCTTATGATATGATATTGGGCTTGGATTGGTTATCCAGCTTCAGTCCTATGCAAGTACACTGGCAGCAAAAGTGGATTGCCATTCCATACAATGGACAGCCGGTAATGTTGTTTGGTGATGTGTCGGAATTACCAGTGGGCTTAGTCGTTCAGTTATCATTGCTTCAGCACGGTTCTGAGGCTAGTTGTTCTAAAGCACCAGAGTTACCGCAAGAGCTTACTGATCTGCTGACTGAATTTGCTCCTCTATTTCAACCACAAACCGAGTTACCGCCACGGCATGACTGTGATCACTCTATACCGCTGGTTGAGGGGGCACAACCTGTTTTCATCAGGCCCTATCGATATGCGCCGATGCTCAAGTCTGAAATTGAACGCCAGGTGGGAGAAATGCTATAACAAGGAATCATTCAGAAGAGTTCAAGTGCGTTCTCCTCTCCTGTACTGCTGATCATAAAGAAGGACGGCTCTTGGCGGTTTTGTGTGGATTACCACCACCTCAATGCTATTACAGTCAAAGGGAAATACCCAGTGCCAATTATCGATGAATTGTTAGATGAATTGGCTAGAGCTGCTTACTTCACTAGTCTGGACCTTCAAGTGGGCTTCCATCAGATTCGGATGAAATCTGGCGAAGAATTTAAAATGGCCTTTCTGACACACTTCGGACAGTTTGAATTCTGCGTGATGGCCTTTAGGATGACCGGCGCCCCTGGTTCCTTCCAAGACGCCATGAACACAACTCTGGCTCCCTACTTGCGCCGTTTTGTATTGGTCTTCTTCGATGATATCCTTATTTACAGCCCCACCTGGGAATCTCATCTGGTGCATATCAGGTTGGTGTTGGAACTGTTGTCCCGCGACCAATGGAAGCTAAAACTCTCCAAATGCTCTTTCGCTCAAGAGAAGATTTCATACTTGGGACATGTCATCAGTGTTGCTGGTGTCAGCACGGACCTTGATGCTATTGCTCAGTGGCCAACTCCAGCGTCTGTCAAAGAGTTATGCGGTCTTGGGGCTTGCTGGTTATTACCGGAAGTTTGTCAGGCACTTCGGCATCATTTCCAAGTCACTGATCAGCTTGCTAAAAAAGAATACATTGTTCATTTGGACTAAGGACCATGAGACAGCCTTTCACACACTGAGACTTCAACCGCCCCTTCTTTATCGAGACTGATGCATCAGATGCAGGCGTCGGGGCAGTACTCATGCAGGATGGCCACCCTCTGGCATATCTCAGTAAGGCTCTTAGCCCTAAATCCCGTGGCCTCTCCACGTATGAAAAGGAGTACATGGCAATACTATTGGCAGTGCAGTCTTGGCGCTCATATCTTCAGTTCCAAGAATTTGTGATTCTGACAGATCAAAAGAGTCTGACACAGTTGGGTGATCAACGCTTACATACTACCTGGCAGCAAAAAGTTTTCTCTAAGCTGTTGGGATTGCAGTATCGCATTGTCTACCGTAAAGGCTTTGATAATCGTGCGGCGGATGCCTTGTCTCGCCATCCTTCTCCACCGGCATTATGTGCTGCAGTTACATCTCTGGTTCCTTCGTGGCTCTCGGCTGTCTCGTCCAGTTACGACGGTGATCCAGTAGCACAAGAGACGATTGTTAAACTGGCCCTGGATCCTAACTCAGTCCCAGGATTTACATTGAACTCTGGCTAGAGAATGTGAATAGCCTATTTTAAAAAAAATCTACAAGAACATTAGAGCAATTGATTAGTATGACAAACGACGTAATGCAATTTTGCTCTAGCTCTACAAGGGTTGCAAGCCACCTATCCCAACAATTCTAGTTGCTATAATCACTAGACACACACAAGAGCTAAGTCACTACTCACTAAGAGCTCTTAACAAAGCTACACTAAAAAGCTCCACTAGATGAAACTAAGCTACAAAGCAAGATCTCAAAACTAGCTACACTAAAGAGCTTGCTACAACTAGTTTGCAAGAAAGTAATAGAGTGAGTAAGGTGACTATACCGCCGCGTCGAGGAATGAACCAATCACAATATGTAGACAATCCAATTACCAGGAGAAATCCAATCACAAGAGACACAAGAGTTTTCTCCTGAGGTTCACGTGCTTGCCGGCATGCTAGTCCCCGTCGTGTCGGCCAACACTTGGTGGTTCGACGGATAAGAAGTGTTGCACGAGCCTCGCCAATAAATGGCACTACAAGAACATATCCACAAGTGAGGTAGCTCAATGACACGAGCAATTTACTAGAGTTGCCTTTGGCGCTCCGCCGGGGAAGGCACAATACCCCTCACAAGCAACCGATCGAGGCCGGAGACAATCACCAACTCCGCTCAATAATCCTCCAATCACCGGGTCGTCTAGGTGTCGGCAAACACCAAGTGTAATAAGCTCATAACCAGCCCAAATCACCCAACTAGTACCACAAGATGATGCAACTCAATATAATGCACTAGAGGCGGTGCAATGCTGCACCTAGGGCGGTGACCATGGCGGTGCCCCCCTTTGCTAGCGCTGCTCTCGGGTGAATTAGGGCGGTGGCACCGGACAAGGGCGACGGTGCCCGTGGCGGTGCACTGCCATGCACCTGGTGATGTACACCGGACACACCGGTGCCTGCTCCCTCTTTGCTCCTTCTCAGCCGAGTCCAGGTGGGCACTGCCCTAGGGGTGGTGGTGCCAACGGACACAGTGGTGGTGCCAACCCTTGCACTAGCGTCTCTTGGCCTCGACCAACAGGTCATCAGACAGGCCAGGGCGGTGCACCGCCCTTCCATGGCGATGACAACCCCAAGGCAAACACCTCCGTTAGCTGCATTTTTGATTCTTGATTCGATCCACATGTAGTCTAACACTCCTTTGCAAGCATTGCTAACCCTCAAAGTGTTTTCTCAAAACATGTTAGAGCCAAGTTAGCATTTCTTAAAACATTTTTGATAAATATTTTTGCTTGCTCTCCGATGTGCACTAGGCTTAAATGCAATGCATGAAGTCCAACACCTAGTGGCACTAGATGACCGAATTGTCTAGTTAAGAACCCCTCTTAATAGTACGGCCATCTATCCTAAATGTGATCACACTCTCTATAGTGTCTTGATCACCAAAACAAAACTCCTAATGATACCTTTGCCTCGATCTCGATAGGGTTTTGTTTTCCTCTTTCTTCTTTTCCAAGTTGAGCACTTGATCATCATCACATGTGGCCATCTCATCATTTTGTGTGATCATCACCACCTCTTGAGTGCCACAATGCTCTACACTTGCATTGCACCAACTTAGCTCATATCATGACTCATGACAAAGGTTAGTGCATAGGTTTCATCAATTATCCAAAACTCAAACTAGGGCTTTCAATCTCTCCCCTTTTTGGTAATTGATGACAACCTTTTCACAAAAATATTCAATGAAATCTTTTTGGATTCATATTGCTTGCCCAAGCATATTACCAGGTGTAAAGGTTATGGACAAGTTTCATCAACCCAAATTGGTAGTATTAGCTCCCCTATATATGTGCTAAGAGTTTTGATTTGAAAGCTTGTACATATGCATGGATTGGAAGTTTGGGAGAGTAATAGCTACCAAATGATGCTAAGGTGTAAAGAATGGACCTTTGAAGCATGATACCAATCGGAGTTGCCATTTGAACACCATTCTTAGCACCATGGTTAGTTAGATAGCACTTGCAAAACACAAACACTAGATACCTCATGAGATCAACATTATAAGCAATGCTTTAGTATCACTTGTAAAACATGCAGGGCACATCTAACTACCATCCTATGCATGCTAGTTTTTAATTTCACCAATCATTTTCTATAATCTAGCATACACCACACAAGCATGGATATGGAATTTAAAACTTGTGCAATGCAAGTAAACATATGTAATGCACATATAAATGCAACATACAAGTTTATGACCTTGCTCCCCCTACTTGTGTGCTTCAAATTTTAATTGATCCCCTTATAATATCATTTCATTTGTTTGCTCCCCCTATCTTACTATGTTTGTGAATTTCTCTCCCCCTTTGTCAATAATTAGCACAAAAGGTGAGCTAAAATTTTAGATAGGTTAGGGTGAAACCATGTTAAGTGAGGATCATTTTCCCATATTTGGTTCAATCTAGACCACTTGCAAAAGATATTTAACTTAGTTTGATACAAGGACAAGCTTCTTCACACCTCCAAATAAGGGTTATCTTGTACCATGTTGAGTTAAAAACTTATAGCTCATTCTTTAGATTAAACACTAGGTTTACAAAGCCCACAAACATGTCATATGCTACCACTATATCATTTTAAGCATATAGACAATAGTGGTACCATACAAGCATCAAATTCATTTAATTTTCATGAATGAGCCTAAGACATGATAGGAATGACTATCTACACTAAAATAAGTCCTTAGCAATTGATGAATGACATGCCAATCAACTTTACCTTGCTTTGCTCGAAGGAGAGGCATGTCATATAATGGGGGTGCATCAACACATATTTGAGAAGTTAAGTATGTTTAATTCATTCCTTAGCTTGCAAAACCTTTTCTCATCAAGTGGCTTGGAGAATATATCGACAAGTTGATCATCGGTGCCCACACTCTCAATGCAAATGTCCCCCTTTTGTTGATGATCTCTTATGAAGTGATGGCGGACATCGACCCGTTCGCTTCGATTGGCTGAAATTGGTTGAAAAAACAAGCCAAAGCTGAAGTGTTGTGAGAGAAAAACACTGTTCTGGCTGAAAAAAGAAGCCGAATAAGCCAACTTTTAAGGTAAGCCGAACGGGGCCGATCTATGTGCTTTGTTCTTGAATGTTGAACCGGGTTGTTGGTGAGCTTCACGGCACTCTCATTGTCACAAAGCAATGGCACTTGTTTGAACTAGATTCCAAAGTCACTCAAAGTAGCCTTTATCCAAAGTAATTGAGCACAACAACTACCGGCTAAAATGTACTCTACTTTGGCGGTTGAAAGTGCTACACTATTTTTCTTCTTTGATGACCAAGACACAAGTGATCTTCCCAATAATTGACATGTGCCCGATGTGTTCTTTCTCTCAACTTTGCATTCCGTATAATCTGAGTCCGAATATCCAATCAACTCAAATCTTGCTCCTTTGGGATGCCATAATCTAATATTTTATGTATGCTTCAAGTACCTCAATAT